CTTTCTGTCCTGAAATCTGAGTTGATGCCCTGTTGCCTTCTGCATAAAATCTTTGTGCTAGTAATAATAAGTGACACTTTATATTGCTTTACAGTTTACAGAGAATTAGCTTAGTGAATGCCCACCATGTGCCAAGCCTGGTGTTGGAGATACTAAGCTAAAAAGACAGGATTTGCTCTTGAAAAACTCATGGTCTACTTATACAAAGATAGAAAAGGTCTTTTTTTTTTTTAGTAAATTTATTTTATTTATTATTCTTGGCTGCATTGGGTCTTCGTTGCTGTGCACAGGCTTTCTCTACTTGGAGAGAGCAGGGCTACTCTTCGTTGCGGTGAGCGGGCTTCTCATTGTGGTGGCTTCTCTCATTGTGGAGCACGGGCTCTAGGCACGTGGGCTTCAGTAGTTGCGGCACGCGGGCTCAGTAGTGTGGGTCACGGGCTCTGTAGTTGTGGGTCGCCGGCGCTAGAGCACAGGCTCAGTAGTTGTGACACACGGGCTTAGCTGCTCCGTGGCACGTGGGATCTTCCCGGACCAGGGCTCGAACCCGTGTCCCCTGCATTGGCAGGCGGATTCTCAACCACTGTGCCACCAGGGAAGCCCCCAAAGGTTTCTATTTAATCCCTTGAGAAGCCGATGAAGGTGTTTGTTCTCATCCAGATATCAACTAAGCATTTATTGGACAACTAACTGATTTATCAGGCTCTGTGCTGGGCGATTTCACACACACCAATTTATTTCGTCCTAATGATAATCCTCTGAGGCTGAATGAATATCCTCGTTACCATTGCACAGATGAGAAAACCGAGGCCCAGAGAAGTAAAATGACCCGCTCCCAGTGCACAGCCAGTAAGTGGCAGGTTGGAGCCAGGCCCCAAACCAATAATCTCTTGGCTGTGTCACGTTATTCCTTAGTTAGATTATAGCTTCCTTCCCTGGATCAGGTTAAATAAGTTCAGTGACTGTATTATATTTTATGGAACGATTTCACATAAGTCACCTCATGAGACCATCCTTTTTTAAAATTAATTTTTATTGGAGTATAGTTGATTTACAATGTTGTGTACGTTTCTGCTGTACAGCAAAGTGAATCAGTTATACATATACATATATCCACTCTTTTTTAGATTCTTTTCCCATAAAGGCCATTACAGAGTATTGAGTAGAGTCCCCTGTGCTATACAGTTGGTCCTTATTAGTTATCTACTTTATATATAGTAGTGTGTATATGTCAGTCCCAGTCTCCCAATGTATCCCCCACCCCCCCAGACCATGTTTCCTGATTTGGGGTTGGAAGATTCCTGCTAACGGTTTTGTTGTTATTCTGGGGATCCAGTTCAATCCAAAAAATATTTATGGGTGTTCTTCCTTCACCAGGCTAACTCCTTTCAGTCTTCAGTTTAAATGCTGCCACTTCAGAGAGGCCTTTCTGGACACCCAAGTCTAATTTCAGAGTCACCTGTTATGCTCTTTTATTCATAATGCTTATCACACACTTGATAATTTTTTATGAATTATGAGTTTATTAAGGTCCGCTGCCCTCCCTGGATTGTAAGTTCCATGAAGGCAAACAAAAGTGTGTCTAGTTCACCCTTCCACATGGCTCTTAGTGGGTAGTATCTTTTTTAGCTTAGTGTCTCCAATACCGGCCCAGCCAGTATTTGGTGGCTGGTTGGGGGATGCCCGCTGATGCTGTGGGGAAGAGGCATTCCTTCAGTGATAACTGACTAAGTCACCTCTCGATTCTGTGTGCTTGGGATCCAGAAATCAATTATCTACAGTCTCTACCCTCAGCTAGTTCAAGGTCAATGGGAGAGAATGATACATAAACAGATAATTATAAAACACTGTGGCAAGCGCCTTGGTGGAAACAGGCCCAGGGTTTTACAAGAATGCAGAGGAGGGACATCTGACCCAGCCTGGGTGAGGGGTCAGGAGGGCAGGAAAGCTTCCAGAAGGGGAGAACACTGTGCTGAGGCTCAAAGGAGGAGAAGCCAGGGAGGGAGTCTGGGGAGAAGAGGAGGGCTTTGCGTGTGCCAAGGGCCAGTGGTGGGAAGCTGAGCAGTATGTGTCCCCAAAACTGGACCAGGAGGCAAGCAGGCCTGGGTTCAGATCCCAGCTCTGCCACTTCCTCTCTGTAACCCAGCAAGTCCCTTTAACGCTCTGGGCCTCCGTTTCCTTAGCTGTAACCGCCGGCTTACTGGGCCACAGTGAGGACTAAAGAGCAGAATAGGAACCTCTCTGCCAATGGGGGGATTGTTGGGGCAGGGTCCCCGGTCCCCAGCAGCCTCACATCATCTCAGGCCCCCGCTCAACCCTGTCTTTCTTTTGGGGGCAGAAGGAGATTCTGCTGCACGTCCTGTACTACATTCACTACCTCCAGAGAAAAATCGATGCGGCCAAGGCCTTGCTCGAATTCCACACCACCGATGGGAACGGAGGACTGGGGGGTAAGTAAGTTCAGCCGACGTTTCCCAGCGCCTGCTACGTGCCAAGCATTGTCCTGGCTGTCAGGGACGCTGAGTGACTTAGACTGGTCCAGTCCTTCCTGGATCTCACAGCCTGTCTCACGGGACAAGTCAGAGGGATGTCCAAAGTGCTGTGACCCCAGAGGAGGGTGTTGGGAAGACTGTGGTGGGAGGGGCCTCGGAGCTGGGCCTTCGAGGACAGGGAAGGGGGAACCATGCCAGGCAGAAGAAACAAGGTGAACAAGAGTCTGAAGGCACGAGAAGACACCTGTGGGACGTCCGGGGACAGGCAAGCAGTTGGGTATGACTGGAGGGGTCGTGTAGCACCCAGATGATGTGCGCAGACTCCTGAGCCAGGTCCCAACTCAGGCACAGTCCTATCAGCTTCTGATAGGGACGTGGGATTCCAGAAACCTGTGGGTGACCTACACTGCTCTGTGCCTCAGTTTCCTCATCTGCAAAATGGACCCATACCCCCTTTCTGTGTTTGTTTTGAGGATTGAATGAGTTAATACATGTAAAGAATGCTGTAACACGGCGCCTGGAACAAGCCAGTCATCCCATGCCATGTGTGCCGGCTGCTGTGGTTACTGGTGGGAGGAATACACGGGCAAGAGGGGTAGAAGATGAGGCAGGGACGAGATTCTGAAGGGCCTCAAGCGCCTGGCGGAGGAGGGAGATGAAGAAGATGAGAATGACTGAAGGCCTTTAAACCAGAGGAAAGCCATGATCAGAGTTTCTTTGAGGAAGAGGTGCCTGACATCTAGCGTGGGGACTTGCTATTAAGTAAGAAGGTGGAGTGGGGGAGATGAGTGAAGATACTTTTAGGGGTGATCTGGATGGGAGATGATGAGGCCAATGTAGCACCGTAGCTGAGGGTGTAGACAGAAGTAGGTAAATTTGGGAGTATTTTTTTTTGGCCATGCCGCACAGCACGCGGGATCTTAGTTCCCCAACCAGGGGTCGAACCCATACCTCCAGCCTTGGGAGTGCAGAGTCTTAACCACTGGACCGCCAGGGAAGTCCTTGGGAGACGTTAATGAGGAAGAGTTGAGAGGCCCCGGGCCACCCAGGGTGGGTGGTGGAGCCCCTACCATCTTGAGGAGGCTGGAGGAAGAACTGATTTGGGAGGCGGAAGACGGGGAAGCATCTGGGAAGTGCTGGGTCTGTCTTTCCTCTCATCCGAGGCCCGGAATGGCCCTGAGGACAACTGAGTTCTCGCCTGTACTTCTGCCACCTGGCTACACAACCTCAGCCAGGTCCCATCTCCTCCCGGGACCTCAGTTTCCCCATTTGTAAAGTCAGTCTGGGGACCGTGGCAGCCTCCCTGCTCCCTGTCCATCATGAAGTGCTGTCCAGAGGCAGCATTCAGGATGGATAAGGGTGAGGGCATCTGACCTGCCTCATTCTCCGTCCTGCGCAGGGCTGGGTTGGAAGCCGGCCGCAGGCCCAGCAAAGTGGAGACACTCCACCCCATCCAGCACCCCACACTCTCATGAGTCCCATCTTTGGGGAGGCTGCCAGAAACCTCGGAAGAAGAAGCCGGCCCAAGCATCAGGTACAAGCCGTCAGTGGGGACAGAAGAGGGTGCAGGGGTCAGATGGGAGCGGGGCTCCTTCTCCAGGACCGTCCCCACTCCCGGGAGGCCCAGTCGGCAAACCTGAGCCCTTGACAAGGCTCTGGATTCAGATGTGCCTGGGTTCAGCTGTGGTGCCTCCTCTTCCTAGCTCTGAGGCCTGGGGGTGGGTCACTCTTCTCCTGTGAGCCTCAGCTTCCTGGTCTGGAAATTGGAGGGCCTGCCACAGGGTGGTCCTCAGATTAGGAGCCAGGCGCATGCCGCTCAAGCAGTGCTTAAGTGATGGGGCACATGGCCAGTGCCCAGGAATGGAAGCTGCTGTCAGCATTTATCATCCCTCTGCCCAGTCATCCATCCCCAGGCCAGGGCAGCAGGGAGTGTGGGGTGACAGAAGGACCCCAGTGCGGGAGGCAAGTGTCCCAGGTCCCACCTCAGCCTTGCTACTAACACTACCTGTCCCTTCCCCTTTTCGAGCCTCCGTTTCCATGTCCTTAAAAAGGGAGTTGGACCTAATCAATGATTTCCAGCTCTGGCTGCACATCTGAATCACTGGGGTGCTTTTAAAAATGCCCATTACCTGTGCCTCACACCCAGAAAGTCGGGCTTCAGTGATCTGGGTGGAACCTGGGCATCAGTATTTTCAGAGCTCGCAAGGTGATTCTAACGTGTGGGCAGGGCAAGGGGGTGTCCGACTAGGTGGTCTTTAACTGAGGATCTGGGCCTCTCCGGGAAGGACTGAGTGACCAGGCCAGACAAAGCTTTGAAGCAGGTTATTGGGCCCAGAGCAAAGACCCCCACCTCAGACACCCTCCGGTGACAGTCAGGCCCCCAGCCCTGTCTGACGCCATCTCTCTGCTCTCCCAGAACGCCAGACCCGGGCCCAGAACCCTCGTCGCTGTCTGGCCCTGGACCAGCCCGAGAAGCAGGTTACCCCATCCCCAGACCAGAGAGGAGGAAACATGGTGGCGACCATCACCCCTCCAAGATGCCTCGACTCCTGCAGTCACCCCAAGGCTGTGTCATCCCTGTCTCAAGGTGACAGAAAGGGAGGAAGATCCTGGCTGACACTGCTGCATATGGCTGAGAACAGCGTCCACTGTGACATCTCAAGTTGGTGTCTTTCCTCTCCACTAACTTAACCACTCGTTTATATACCACTTGTCGGGCACCCTCGATGTCCCAGGCACAGTCCTAGTCGCCAGGGATTCTACAACGGAATCCCTTCAGGCTCTGTTGGGGGTGTAAGCAGGGGACAGGGTCACAGAACTGGAGGCAAGAGCAGGGCCGCCTCGTGAGCCTTCCTTCACTTGAAGCAGCCAGACAGACGCTCTTGTGAATCCCCATCCCTTTGCCAGCTTGCAAAGGTGTGACACCCCCAGGAGATACGGGCGCGACTGGAAGGCGAGGCCTCAGGTCATCCTATTCCTCTGTCCCTTCAGCCTTTCCTCCCAGAGCATCTCCTCTGGGCCAGGCCACGTGAGCGGTGCCGGTGACAGTCCAGTGAAGAAATCCCACGCTCTCACTTCCTGGGGTCGCCCAGGAGGCTGTGGGAGCCCCAAGGAGGCGCCTGACCCACCTGGGGAAGGAGGGTGTCCCAGATCTTGAGCTAATCTTGTGACCTTGGGCCAGTTACTTGATATCTCAATGCCTCAGTTTACTTAACTGTAAATGGGTATTATAAAAACCGTACCCTTTGGTAAAGGGCTACCGAGTAGTATGTAAAACTTAAGATTAAAACCGTGCTGCCTTGGTAAGCACCATATACTTGTTTGCTCTCGTCGTCTTCATCATCATCATTCTGCTTAAGGACTTTATCTTCCTTACAGCTTCTGACAGGGACGTGGGATTCCAGAAACCTGCAGGTGATTCAGGGAGCCCCCAAACCTCACACAGAGGCCCCAGAGCCTGAGGTTTTGGCTGGGATGGGGGGAGGGATAGGCTGTGGCGTACCCCAGCACCTCTCCGTCCCTGCCTCTGTGAGTCCCAGGATTTGGGCCAGACACAGGAGTGACCATCCTGACTTGCCCCACCCCCCCGTAGGCTGCTGTTGCAAAAACAGTGCCCAGGATGCGGGGCCTTACCCTGCCTTCGAGGCCCAGCAACGGGTTGAGAGGATCCATTTTCTCAACAGGACCCAGCCCCGTCCCAGGTAAGGGAAGCCCAGGGATGTGAGTGGAAGAGGCTGAGGCGTTTGGTGGGATTGGCTAAGGCTTGGTGAGAAATGGGGTCAATCACCACCCTTGACTGGTATCTGTGGAGTGAGCACCTCTGAGGGCCTAGCTTTGCGTCAGGCATCGTGAGCTCGAGGGAAAGCCTTGCTTCCTACGTGTTGACCAGGGCCGCATCCTCTCCCTGCCTCCCGTCCCGCCCTCTAGCCTGTCCCCAGTAGTCACCTGCATGGCTTTTCTAACACACAAGACCTTGATCATGTCAGTTTTTGGCTTTAAGCTATTCCCTCCTGTTGGGTAGAGCCCAGATACCTTAATTAGCATTTGAGACCCTCTCTGGTCCCAGCTCACCTTGCCAGCCCCCTTTCCTGCTCCTCAACTGCAAACCTTACCCTTAACACCACCAAATATTCGCCACTCCCTGCGGGAGCCAGGCCCATGTCCCCTCTGGGCTTCTCACCCTTTGTTCCCTCTTCCTGGAAGCTTGATCCCTTCGTCCACCTGGAAAACTAGCCATCCTTTAAGCTTAGCTCAGCTTGGTCCTCCCTCCTGCCCTGCCCACCGTCGGTGTCCTCCTCAAAGCCCCATCCAGCTCTGCCCCCGTTTAGTCAGCTCTGATTACAGCTGGCCTCTCCTTACAAGCGCTGAGGCTCCTTGAGGGCGGGCACCCCCCAGCGGCCGGCACGGAGAGATCCCTGTCTTAGTCCACAGTGGGTGACACTGAGACACCCAAAGGGGAAAGGGCTCGCCCCAGGGCCCACGGTGTTTCCAGCCCGGGGCTCCAGGTCTGCCTCTTCAATTCCTCCTCTTGCAGGCAGAAGCTGGTGTTGTGCGATTACAGCGAGGAGGTGGACAAGGAGTCCCCAGATGCTGACCCTTGGCTTCCTGCCTGGACCCCAAAGGGCAGCGCCCATGGTGACTGGAGCTCTGTCTGTCCTCCTTGTAGCCTGGAGTGGGGTCTTCTTGGTACCTTCCTTCTGAGGATGTCTGTGGAAGGGGGGAGAGTGGGAAAGGGATGGATGTCCACTAAGCACAGGGATGGCAACACACAGCCTGCCCACTGTCCCTGAGCCATCAGTTGCCATGGAAGACGTTGCTGATCAATCATTACTCTTTCTGTTGATCCCAGACACTGCCTCAGAATCTTTCTCAACACAGAGCTCCAGATAGCTAAAGTCAGTCTATTGGATCTGGCACGTGATGATATTGATTTTTTTCCTGGCCATTCCTAACAAGATGCCAGGCACCGTGCCTCTTAATTTCCTCTTCCAAGCACTCACCACAAGGAACTGACAGTCACCTTTCCCCAGTGTCTGGCACCATCTGCTCAAAGCCAGCTGCTGTGCTGGGGGAGATGGCAACCTCTGACACACCCTCGAGCCTGATATTTCCTTTTCAGGGAGCCCACTCGCCTTGGGGCCTCCCCAGATTGACAAGTGGAATGCGACAGGCCACCGGAGCGAGATCCTAGGGCTCAGCCCCTCCCTCTTCAGCTCCCCGGGGAAACTGCAGCCAGATCAGATCCTGGAGGATGGCACCAAGTACCTGACCCAAGGTGAGCACCCAGGGCTGGACCTGATGCTTGGTTCATTCAGAAAAAACACCTGCAGTGACACCCACCAAGTGTGCAGCCCTGTGCTGGCAGTGCTGGATAACCAGGGATGAATCCCACCCAGGATGAATCCCATCCCAGCCCTCAAGGAGCCCACAGCCTGGTGGGGAGCAGCCCCAGGCCAGCGTGGCGCGTGGAAGGCTCCAGGAGCCTGGAATAGGGACCCACTCACTCTGCCCAGGTTGGTGGTTCCCCACGGGAGCTGGCCTGTGAGCTGGATTTGGACTTGGGGCAGAAGATCCCAAAGCCAAAGACAGAGAAGGGCACTCCGGCTAGCAGGGGTGGCGGGACAGAGGCACGGTGCCCTGAGAGAGGTGTTTCTGTCCCAGCCACCCCTCTGGTCTCCCTCCCCGCCCCCGACAGCTCTCTTTGAAGAAGTATTCTTAGATCCTGCGTCTTCACCTTCTGCCTGCACGCTTGAGGGACTACAGAAGAAGGTAGGTGTCTGCCCATGCATCTGTCCACACACACGTCCATCCTTCTCTCCACCTGCTTGATCCACTCATCTGTCCCCTCGACCTTTCAGCTCCTCCCCCACTCACCTGTCCATCCATCATGCTTCTCCTCATCCTTCCAGAGACTCATCCACCATCTGTGCCCTCACCTGCCCGCCCATCCTTTGAACACTCCCTGCTGGCCACCAGGCGCCCTGCTCTGTGCTGGGCCCTTAGAATGAACCAGACACAAAGGATAAAAGCTGAAAGCTGCCAGGTGCCCAGAAAAGACCCCACATAATTTTATGACTGCTCTATGAGTCAGGCTCTCTTGTGAACCCATTTGACAGATGAGGAAATTGAAAACAGCCGGTGACCCCCAGGATCCTCAGTTGGAAAGAGCCTCCTTCCCAGGCCCCCGGGCTGATTTCTGTAGCACCGTCTGCTCCAGCAGTTCAACGTCTGACTGCCAGAGGGGCAGCCCCAGCTCCGGTCCCCAGGGTGTGGCCCCCTCCAGTGTGTGGGAAGGTGGCCCCCTGCCTCAATGAATAGCCGAATCTGCTGTAGAAACAAAAATAGACACCTTTAGCGGAGCTCTTGGAAGTGCAGCCACTGCACCAAGTGCCTCTCGGCCTTGCAGAGGATGTGTAGTGACACCATCTGTGCATGAAACTGAGGCTCAGAGGAGTTAAGACTTGCCCGGGGCATCACGGCTACTTTGCAAGGTGGTAAACTGATGGGATTGAGAGAGAGTGCCCCAGAATAGGAGGCAGAAGACCCCCATCCACCTCCTCTCCAACCCCCTGTGGGAACAGGGGAAACTTAGCTTGAATTTCTGAGGAGGCATCTGGAGGCTGTTTTGAGCCTGAGCTGTTTGTGATGATGCTCGTGTGACCTCCTAGGAAAGCAGTGAGTGGGGGCCATGAAGGGACAGCACTGTCCCCCTCCGTCTCCTCCCATCTTTCTCCTTCACCCCCCAGGACACACCCCCTGAGGCCCCCGAAGACCTTCCCGACTCCCACAGCTGGTGCCAGTCCTTGGTCTCGCTGGACCACTGCTACCTGTCGCTGTGTGAGAACAGCAAGGTGCTGTGCAGCCCCAGCTCGGAGGACACGGACACAGACTCGGTGTGGAGTCAGCAGGAGGTGAGGGAGACAGAAAGCCATCCGCCTGGTCAGTCCGCGTCTCCTGCCCGCCCTCACCTCTCTGTCTCCCACCCAGGATGTTCAGGCCAACCTCGAGAGCCTGCAGTCCTCCAGCGATGAGGATGAGAACTATACGTGGACCCCCACCCAGCGGGCCTCAGCCCTGCCCGCAGCCGGGAGGAAGGGCAGGGTGGTCAGGGGCCTTGTGAAGCCCAAGGAGAGCAAGCAAACCCCCTGCCCCACCCAGATGAAGAAGAAGTGTGTCAACGGCTTCATCATGTTCTGCAGGATGAACCGGAAGCAGTACATCAGGTGGGAGGGCGTCCTCTTCAGCCCTGATTGGGGCCCTACCTCACTGTCCATCCACCCGCAGAGCATGCCACCCACTGCTGCCGACACATTCCTCAGCCACGCTCTCCCGGCCTCCTCCTGGCCCCATGGCACTGGTCAGGGCCTGTGCACTGCAAGGAGTGAAACTCAGCTCAGACTTAGGAAAAATAGGAAACTAACTGGCTTGAATTAATTAATATAATGAACTAATTAATATAATTAATTTAATTTATATAACCTGAAAAAAGAGGAGCCACCTTCAGACGTGGTTGGTCCTTGGGCTCAAAGGACGCTGCCCGGGATCCTTGTCCCCCTCCACTCCGCGCTCTGGGTTGGCTTTGTGCTCCATCACGCTGGGCCGGGCTGGGGCAGGCTCTCCTGCAGGAGCTTCAGGCTCGCGTCCTGTCTCCCGCCCCAGCAACCCTGTGGGAGGAGAGCTCCTCGCTTCTAAGATTTCAAGCAAAAGTTCTTGGGGCCGACTTGATATGATGTATCAGGCGCCTAGCCCTGAACCGATCTTGCCAGTCTGCAGCCTCTGTGGAGAAGAGGTGGTGCTGGTATTGGAGCAGCGGATACAGGTCCCAAGACACGGGGTGGCCCCTTTCCAACCACCATTTAGTCCAGCCCCCTTCTTTGCCACCTCTGCTCCAGGGGGCGCGAAAGGAGGCATCTTTCAGGGCAACACGGAAAGATCCGAGTTCTCAGCTTTGGAAAGCTGTGGCTCTGAGAGGGCCAGGGACCCTTGTGTGGTCACACCATTGGCCTTCGCCCAAGCCAGGCGAGGCTACAGGCCTCTCCTCACCTCCTGCTCCCTCCTGCCCCAGAGCCTGCCCTGGGACCGCATCCACGACTGCCACCAAGGAGCTGGCCCACCTCTGGCGGACGATGACCCTGAAGGAGCGGAGGCCATATTGGTGAGAAGCCCCTGCCCAGAAGGTGTGGGCGGCAGAGGCGAGGCCCCTGCTTCTCATCCTGCTCTGATTTTCAGAGCCTTGAGCTCTGTGATGTTGGAAACAGGTTGGGAGTTTCCTCGGGCAGGAGATTTGGGTGTCACGAGCTCTTATGAAAGAGTTGGGGTGACAGAAGCAGAGCAGCACTCTACCCCTGCCTGTAACTTCGAAGGGCAAACAGCTTAATTCTGGATTTGGACCCCACTGCCCTAAATTTCCTTTGCCCTCTCTGCCACAGGGAGTTTCTCAGAGCACAAAGCTGGGTCTTAACTTCCCTGTCGCTTGGTCTTCTCCTTCTCTTCCGCTCTTGATGCCCCCTCCCTCCTGAAACCCTCTCCTCTCCACCTGCCCAGCTTGTAACTGGCCCCGGAAACACATGTGCACGTGTGCAGATGGTGACAGGTCCTCACGGGAGCCAGTGGCTCCCCCGCTGGGGCCAAATAAAGCCCTGGACGCCCCCTCAGCCCAGGCCCTGGTCACTGCTGGGGCCAGAGCACTGGGGGTGGGACAGAGATGGTCGGGAGGCAACCGAGGAACCCTGCCCATCCTGCCACCTCTCTCCCAGCACCAAAGCGCGCAGGTTCAGTCGCCGGCACAACCGGATCGTGAAGAAGGTCAGCTCCAGCAGCGAGGACGAGGACTGGGAGACCCCCAAGCCCTTCTACCAGCTGCTGGCTGAGAAGGCCCGCCGCCCCCATACCGCGCGTGAGGGCAGCCTCACCCCCTCCACCACTGCCTCGCAGCCCCTGCAGCCGTGGTCTGAAACAAGGCGCCGGTGGTGAAGAGGCTGCCTCGTCCTGGGCATCACCGCCGCTAGTGCAGAGCCCCTCAGTCAGGCACCCCCAAGTGGGAGGTGGCTATTTATTGACCCCGGTGCTTTGTGCGTTTGCCTTGGTACGGGGCAGCCAGAACTTCTCCAGCCCGGGGTCAGCAGGCATCTCACAGCCCCTTTCACGCCTGGCCTGGCCTATCAGAGGAGCCGCAGGTGGGGACGAAGGACACCCCCCCACCCCGCCACCCCCAACAATGAAATGCAAGGAGGTGAAGTTGCCCTCTGCCTGTCCTTTGCCCAGCCCAGAATCAAATGCTTTCACCCAGTCGTACCTCACTCTATGCCTCCGGGCCTGTTCTATTTATAGTTCTATTTATAGATTATTTATTGTTTTTAACTAAATAAAGTGGAAACTGTTACCAGCAAGAGACAGGGCCGGGCCCCTGGTCTCCTGCTTTCTCAGCTCTGCTCACGGCAGGCACCTTCCCAAGCAGCACCACAAATCTGACCTCCAACCCTGTTCCCCCTGAGAACATCTGGTCAGAAAGCCAGAGTCTCAAGGTGAGCTTTTTGTGGTTCAGCTTTTCCTTGGGCAAAAGCCGTTGGAAGATAGCCCACACCCCCCGAGGTTCTAGTTGTCTGTTAACTTTATTTTAATTGAAATGAAGGCATAACATGTCCTAGAAAAATAAAGATTTAGGATATAAACTAGACACAGGGGTCAGGGTTGGCCCGAGGGTCAAGGGATCTTTGGTCTGGGGCTGGACGTGCTACTGAAGGCTCTAGTCCAGGAGGAGCTAACGGAGGACCCTGGCCCACAGACCACACACCCGCATCCCTCGTGGGCAGGAAGGGCCCGGTGGGGAGGGTCCATCAGTCTCCGGGCACAGGACTGCCCGTCCTCCACCCTCGGATTCCCGAGCCGTTCTGGGAACACTGGATGTCAGTGGAGCTATTAATAGTGTTTCAGGGAGTGATAGGGAGAGGGCTCAAGGGGGTTGGAAATCCAGCCATTCGGCAGGGCTTTCAGCTCACAGCTAGTACCAGGTCGAGGGGGTCAGAGCCCCTGAGTCAGAAGCCCCAAATCTCCCCATGTAGATCAGGAGGCAGAGCAAGGAGAGGGCTGTAACAGAGGAGGCGTCCCGTCAGAGGACGTTGCCCCGGACAGAAGTGGGCCTCCAGGGCGTGGAGAGGTTGAGCTGCCGCGGGGAGGGTGTAGTGTGTGTGGATGGCAGCCATCTTCGTGTTTGAGAGGCTCCCTCCTCCCCGCTGTCCTCGAGCACCATTGTCATGGGAGGCCACGGGGCCCGGCGGGTCACAGTTCCAAGGGCTCTTCCACAGGCACCGACTGTAACTGGGTCAGGACCTTGGTCTCCACTTCCAGCCCCTCGTCAACCTCGCCCCCCGCCGTGGCCCCCAGGAGCAGCCCCTCGGGGTCAGGGTCCGGCAGCCTCAGCACCGTGTGGGGGGCCTGCGTCCCCAGCCCCTTCTCTGCCTCTAGCAGCCCCTCAGTGCCGGTGCTCAGTTCCAGCCCGGCTGGCCAGATGGGCACCGCTGCAGGCGACAGCAGGAGCCCCTCGGGCGGGGGCGCCTGGAAGCCGGGCAGGAGGCCGGAGGAGTCTGGGGAGAAGGGCAGACTGGCGGCGGCCGGGGCGGGGGGCGGCTGCGCAGACAGTGCACCTAAGGCGTGGGCCTCCGGCAGAGCGGGGCTGGGGGCCACCGGGAGGGCTCCTTCGGGGACTGAGATGGCTGCGTCTGGCTTCAGGGGCAGGGCCAGGCTGGGGGCCGGCGACAGGACCTGGGAGACCAGCATGCTGGTGGGGAAGGTGGCGGTGAGGATGATCTTGCCCTGCTGCACGGCCACACCTGTCACGATGGGGCTGCCAGACACGGGGTTGGCCAGCAGGAAGTTTCCTGTGGGGAGAGAAGGGCCAGGCGCAGAGGTGAAGAGTACGCCGCTGGAGAGCAGGCAGGGAGATCAGCCAGAGGCAAAAGGAGCCCCTTCAGGGTCAGGGTGAGGCCAAGTCTGCGTGGCTCGAGCCTCAGGGTACTGCCTGGCACGGGAGGGTCTGGGACCCACCCGGGATGAGCTCCCCGCTCCCCACCGTTGTCCCAGGAAGCCCACTGACAGCGCCATCCCTCCCTGAGGTAACTGTACCCCCCGCCCAGCCACCAGAAAGGGGTACCTGGGGCAGTGGCCGAAGGCAGCTGCAGGGCAGTCACGCCCACCCCAGAGTTTATCAGGTGCACGTTGGCAGGGCCCGGGGCAGCTGCCACCTTCACGGGGCTGCCTGGCCCAGCTGCCAACAGCTGCAGTGGCCCCACAGCCTGAGGCAAGGTCACCACCTGGGAGGTGGGCACCACCTGGGGCAGGTTCAACAGTGGGGAGGTGGGGCCCAGGCCCGCAGGGTAGCCAGGGGGTGGGGAAAGTGGCACCACTTGTGGAGCAGCCACGGAAGTCACTGGTCCTGGGGGTAGAGGAAAGGTGGCAGCCGGCGGGGGGCCAGGCACCACTTGGGGCAGAGGCCCTGGGACCTCCTCTCCAGGCGGCCCTGAAGCAGCCACCTGGGCCCCCTTGGTCTCAGGGGCTTCAGGCTGAGCCTCCTCCAGGCGAACCTCCCCAGTCTGAGGGTCCAGGACCAGGGAGGTCTTGCCCTCGCTGGCCCCCTGGGGGCTGGGCTGCGGGGCAGGGGCGCCCCCGCCCCCGCCGAGCAGCAGGGGGCCCAGGCTGGAGGCCTCGCCCAGGGCCAGGCTGTTGATGATGACGGGGCTCCCATTGAGGAGCACCGCTGGAGAGCTGCCAGCGGCCAGGAAGCTCCCGTTCACCAGGATGGAGGAGGAGGCGGGGCACGGCGCGGGAGGGGCGGCCCCGGCCAGGAATATGGAGCCCTGGGCGGGGGCCTCGGCCGCCACTGGAGCCGCCCCCCTCTCCAGGTCCTCAGGGCTGCGGCTGGACTCGTCCTCCGTAGTGGGGTTCCCATCAGATTCGCTGGCCGGAGAAAGGATTGTGAGTTGTGGTCCCGAGTGCTGTGTTTCCCCGCTGGCCAGCCCGATTCCTGCACGGAGCCGGCTGCAAAGTGCTCGGAGGAAGCACAAGCCGCCCACTGCCTCCCCACCTTTCCCCAGCCCAAGTTCCTGTGCACCATTTCAGGGGGTTATGAAACCTCCTCTCTGAGACCACCCAAGGGCCCCAGGGAGGAGCCTCTGCAATACCACTGACTAAAGGCTCAAGCTTGCCGCTTTGGGGGGGAGGAGGCCCTCCTCTCCCAACTCCTCGGCCTCAGGGCCCCGGAGGCTGAGCAACCAGGCTGCCTGAAGTCTCCTGAGTCGGCCTGAAAGGAGCCGAATGGCTTTGGAGAGAGTAAGGAGGTAGCCGTCCGCTCAGTTCCCGGTGCCCTCCCCCGACCCCCCTCCTCCCCGGGCGTCTGAGGAGTAGGAGGCCGACGCGCAGGGTGGGAGGAGAAGGGCTTGGGTTACAGGGAAACCGGAGCTGGGGAAGGTTCACGTTTCACAACAAAGACAGAAGACGGACCACGCTGTTTGGGCCCTGAGGGGGGGCGGGAAGGGGGGAGGTGAGACCGAGCAACGGTCAGGGAGGGCCTGGCCGCCAAGGGGACTGAACAAGCCCCTACGCCCGGTGGGGAGGACAAAGGCCCCTCCTCCTTTCCCGCAACCCCTCATTTTCTCACTGCCGCCCCGAGTCTAGCCGCGGACACGGATGGGATCTGGGACGGAGCCTTGAGTGGAGCAGAGAGAGGCGGTCTCCCGGCCTCCGCGAGAGGAGCATTGGTGTCCGGGTGTCTGGGAGAGCCGGGGCGCGTGCCCGTTCCATGCACACGGATTCCCCGCGCTCGGCTGGCGCCTGAGGGTGTGAGCGAGGGGTGTCCGAGGACAACAGGCATGGGGGGGGGGGCTGGTGGATGGCACGTCTCCGGGAAAGCGGGACTGGCGCCGCCCGGGTCCCCTCACCTCTTGCAGGGCGCGCCGCCGCCGCCCCCGGTCCGGTCGCGCTGTCGTCGGTTCTTGAACCAGTTGCTAACCTGCGTGAGCGAGAGGCCGGTGAGCGTGGCCAGGCGGCGCTTCTCGTCCGGCGTGGGGTAGCGGTTGCCGCGATAGCAGGCCTTGAGCGCGGCGCGGGACCGCTCCTTGAAGCAGTAGACGGTCTCTTCGCCGTCCCAGATGGTCTTGGGCAGCGGGAACTTCTTGCGCAGACGGTACTTGTCCACCGCGCCCAGCGCGCGGCCGCGGGCCCGTTCGGCCTCGTGGTAGCGCGCGCGCAGGTAGAGGTCCTGCAGAAACGCGTGGTGGGCGGCGGGGAAGGGGCGGCTCTCGAGCAGCCGGTAGAGCTCGGCGTACTCGCCCCGCTGGAAGGCCACCAGGGCCCGAGCGCGCAGCACCGGATCGCTGCCACGTAGGCGCTCGGCCGGGGGCAGTGCGCCCAGGAAACGGCTCAAGCGGCCGGCGTGGCCCGCCTGTAGCAGCGCCTCGCACACGCACGCCACCTGTTCCGGCGAGAAGCGGAGACCCGTGGGCGGATCGGCAGCGGCCTCGGGGGGCGACCCGGGTACGCCCGGGGATCCCGGGCCCTCCACTTTCACCGCCGCTTCGCCCGCCCCGGCCCCGGCCGCCGCCGCTGCCTCACCCTCGGCCGCCTGCAAAGTCTGCAGAAGCTGGCGCGCTTCCTCCTCCTCCTCTTCGGTCGCCGCCGCCGCCGCCACCGCCTCCCCCCCAGCCGCCGGCCCCGCGCTCGGCTCCGCAGGCAAGGTAGCCATGTTTTGCAACTTTGGGAAGTTCCTCCCTCCTTCTCCTCCTCCCTCGGGCTTTCCCCAGCCCCCTCCCCCGCCCGGCTCCCCTCCCCGCACCCCCCCGCAACTTCGCCCTTCCCGATCTTCTCCCGCCGACCCCGCGTCTCCCCCCTCACCACCGATGCCAGGCCCAGTTCTCTATTAGGGTCTCTGTCCCAGTGTGTGTGTGTGTGCCCGTCCCCCTCCCCGTCTGTCCGTGATTCTCCCTTTGTTTTCCCTTCGCCTCAGGCCGCGCTTTTTGCCTCCCCCCCCGCGTGTGCCTCTGGTTCAGGGCCTCAGTTTCCCCATCGGGACAACGGAGAAGGCAACAGGCCGTCCGGGAGGGCTAAGGGCGCGAAGCCGCCTCCGCCCCGAGACTGAGCTTCTGCACGCCTCCGTCTCCAGGGTCCTCCGAAGGCCCCCCTCACTCCCCATCTCGGCCCGCGCTCCGCCCCTCGGAATTCCCGGCTCCGCAGGGGGGCGGGTCTGGCTGGGAGAAGGGGCGGGGGAAACGGGCTAGAAAGTTTGCAGCAACTTTTCTTGAGCGTAAGTCAGTCTCTGGAACGGATGCGCGTGGCCCGCGCAGGCGCAGTGGTAGGAGGATGGCTGCGCTAGCTGCCAGCCCAGCCCCCCCTTCACCGCGGCCTGGTGGCACAGCTGGGCCACAGCTGGACAAGAGGCGGTGCCTCCTGGTGGCCCGCTCTTCTTCTCCTATTGGCCGGATGTCGAAGCCACGCCCCGCATCCCACCCCCCCACCCCTGATACGTCCGCTTCGCCTCCCGCTAGCTTGCTGCCAGGCCATTGGCCACCTCCACTCGCCTTCCTATTGGCCCACCGAAAAGCCTCCTGCCCTCAAAGCAAACAGCGGACACGAAGGAATTTCAGAATTTTGGGCAGACGAGAGGGCCTTTTATTCGCGAGGATCGGGGGTGGGGTCCTAGGTGGGGAAAGACAATAAATACCGAGGAATGTCGGGGTCTCAGTGCATCCAAAATGTGGATTAGGGTGCTGGGGTCCTGAAGCCTGTCAGCGAGTCGGAGGAAAGGTCAATAAATACCCATACTGCCGAGGCGGGCGGAGCCGGCTGTGGCTCCGAGAACAGCGCACGTGAGGAGGGCGCGAGAGTCCCCGAAAAAAGCGGGGCTGTCAAAAGGTAAAGGCGGAGCTCGCGCTAGACGTTCACCGCGGCAAGAGAGTCTTCCCGGGAGGGCAGGGCCTCATGCACAAGGAGGATTTGTGGTTTGCAAGCCGATGTGGGTGGGGGTGCCTGGAGGGTGAAAAACAGATGCCGAGCCCTGGCCCTGCTGCCTTCTCTAGGTCGCAGCTTGCCCATCCACGTCGGATGCCTCAGCTAGGCCGGAGAAAGGAAGAGGTCCGCGATCCCCCCAGCAGCAGCAGCAGCAGCAGCATTCCCGGCTACAAGCCTCCCCGGAGCCGCGGCCCCGGCTCCTCCCTCCCCGGCCGCCAGGGGGCGGGCCCGGATCACAGGGCTGGAGCTGGGGCGGAAACCCACGCTCGGAGTGCTCTGAACTGGGGGGCGGTGGGAGTGGCTTCTGGGCCGTGCCTGGGTCACCAAACCCTCCAGCGGAGCCCAAGTGAAGGACAGGCTCGGGTTCTAGGGTTCAGGCGGCGAAGGCGGCTCCCGGGCGGGGTCAGACTGTGGCAAGATAGCCGGCGCAGGCCACCAACCCAATGCAGCCCAGGGCGGCGGCACCAGCCAGAGCAGAGGCGAACAGGAGCAAGGAACGCGCCTCCGATAGGCCAGGCCTAGGGACCTGCGGGGAGAGGGCGGGGGTCAGCACTGGCGACGCGGGCCTCTGATTGGCTCCTGGGGCCAGCCCCGCCTACGCCCATAAGAGGGTCCACACACTCCCTGCACCTGCCCCGCCCCCTCACAGCGCGAGTAGCTGTGATTGGTCGGCTCACAAGCCTAAGTCTTGTCCCAACTCCTCATTGGCTGCCTCCTAGAGGCCTGTGTTGATTGGCTGCCCGAGTATCCTCCCTCCCCGCCGCGGGCCCCACCCCGCAGAGGCGCAGCTAAGCAGAGGCGGCTTGGGGTACGTGGAGCTGGGCGGGGGCGCGCGACGGGCGGGCGTGAGCAGCCGGACGTACCCTGGCAGGGAGCAGCAGGTGGCGGCGGTGCATGGGGCCTGGCCCCACCAGCGGGCACTGGCCCAGAGCCACGGCCGGGGGGCCATCTAGCTGGAGAGAGAAGGGACAGGTGACCCGATCCGAGCCCAGCTCGGCACGGCCGCCCTCGGCGGGGTGCAAGAGACAGAGAGGGGAGTCGAGGTCGGGGAGGTCATCTAGGGAGATCCTGGATGGGATTTCGGGAGAGGCCTGAACCGAGGGAGATCTGGTAGATTTGGGCATGAATGGAGGGTGTCTGCTGACTGGAACCTCAAAGAGGTAGGGGTGAGCCTCTAAGTCTGGACAGGGGTACGGGGAGATGGGGACAGAGTCTGCAAAGGGGGCAGCAGGCTTGACGCAGGGGAAAAAGAGGGGTCTTACATGGGAAGGTGGATCCGTGGCCCGGGGACTGGGGACCCCCGTGACAGCTGGAAGGAGAAGAGAGAGGCATAGGGCGCGTGGAGGGACGGAGAAGGGCGGTGGCGCGGCGTGCCCCAGCCTGGGCCCCTCACCCTCCCCCAGGTGTATACACACGCCGCGGGCCCACCTCCCCGCCCACCCCCCCACCCCCGCCGGCGCCTCAGGAAAGGTAGTGGATGAGGGACTCGCCTGCGGCTCCCCCGGCCTGAAGCAACTCCATCCGCTCCTGCAGCTGCCGGACGTGCGCCTCCAGGTCTCGGTTACGGGCCTGGGCCTCGCGGAGTTGGCTGCAGGGGAGGTAAGGACCATGAGCCCTTCGGGATTTCGGCTAGAGAGGCTGCTAAAGGTAGTGACTGTCCCCGACTCCCGACCCTGACCTGGCGAAGTTCTGGTTGGCCGTTCGGATGGCCTCCAGCTCCTGGCTCAGGCTCTGTCGGGTGAGCACCTCCTCCTCCAGGGCCTCCTGGAGTTCCCGCAGCGTCACCTGGGCCTCTGCCACCGCCTCCGGAATGGCCTCCGGAACTGCCTCTGGAACTGCCGCTTCAGCCTGGGTATGGGAACCGGGCTTAGGGCTGCCTGTGGCTCCTGGAGCATTCGAGACTTAGGCATAGGTTCCAGGCCTGGGATCCTCCTTTGACCTCTATTCCTGCACCCCCAAGATCTTTCTGGAATCCCCACAGCTCCTGCAGTGATCCAAGCCCCCTCCTTCCCTAACCCAGCCCAGCCCTCATCTCCAGCCCTTAATCTGGTCTCCTCCCATCCACCTTCCACACCAAAGGGCTGTTCCTGTAACACTACGCAGCTTGACCACGTCCCTCCCCTGGAGAATCTCTCCGGCCCCTCAGTGCCCTCAGGAGGAGGCCCGCCACATGGAAACTAAAGGCCCTGTCTGGTGTGCGTCTGCTGGCCTCTCCAGCCTCCCCTCTCCTCACTCCTCACCCTCCTTCCTCCTGGAACAGCGCAGCCTTACTACTCTCCTTTCATGTTTCAGAGCAAACCAGCTGGTTCTCACCTCAGAGCCCTTACCCTTCTCTTTGCTGACCAATGGGTGGTCCTCCTGCTTCTCCAGGGCTTCCCCTCCCCAGAGAGTTCCCCTCCATGCACACTCACTGACCTGTTTTAGTTTCTCTGTGAGGATCATTTCTGACTGAAGTAACCTTGTCTCTACTTTGTTTTCCATCTCTTTCTGTCAAGGAACCTCCCAGAGGGCCTAGCACTCCATGGCGCACACTATCCCTGAAGGCCTCCACTTTTCTCTCGATTCGTCCCTCACTGACCCTCTCCTCTAGAGACTCCTAAAGACTCACCGTTTCCTCTGGTGGGGGCACCGTGGGTTCCAGGCTGGGCTCTTGCAATGGCTCAGGCAACGCCTCGGCCTCCAGTTCCATGGGCGTGGAGCCCGGGATCTCATCATCCCTGGGGAGAGGAAGAGGGCGAGGGGAGGAAGAGCCGATCCTCTGCATTTACAGCCAGGACTCCCTAGCCTGTGCCCTGGGGCAGCCAGACCTGAAGGCTCCAGGCTTGAGGAGGGGGAGGGGCAGAGTGAAGGGAATAAATGGCCAGGCTGGTGAGACAGGTCCTCCTCTTGTTAGGAAAAGGCCTGCCCCTGGCATGGCCTCAGGCCCCTGGAAGCTGGCCTCTCTGCACCTTCCTTGGGAACCTGGGGTCAGGAAACCCATGTTCTAGGATCTGCCCATCTCCGTCTCCATGTGCGCTTTACAGGCCCCTCTCCTAAGGGCCTCAGGAAGTGAGGGAGACACTCCCAGCTCTGGCTACCTCCAAAGGGGTGGTCTTCAGACTGGGTGTTGGACCCCAAGCCTGACTCTAGACAGCAGCCACCCCTCCCACCCCCAGACCCAGGTGCTGGGAGGAAGACAGACCCTCCCAAGGAATATGAAATTGCAGTAAAAGTGACGTCCCCTCCAAGCCAGCAGTCCCTCTTGTAGAAATATGTCTCAAGGACCCAATGATGCTCGACAAGCGCCAAGACCAACCTGCGGCTGTTCATCCAGCCTGGGTCATGACAGAGGCGGGTTAGCTGAGTCCTGACCCGCCCAGTAAGGAGAACACTCCCCAGCGGGTCAGGATTGTGTTACAGTTTGTTCAAGAAATGGCACTTGCGGTACATTGTCCAATAACAAAACAGATCAGAATCCAGCATGTTCTCGCAGCTGTTAAGTACGTGTGCTGTGAGCCAGGGACACACAAGGCCGCTGCTGGCGGCCTTCCTTTTTCTCATCCCTATTTTCTAATATACTTGTGATAAGCAATGTATTATTTTCAGAATCAGTGTTTAAAGAAGGCTTTGCGGTTATGTAATTCAGTGAGTCCGTGTTCTTTTAAGATTGACGTAACAATTCTAAACTTCTTATTCTCTAAGATTTTGAGGTCCCATGACTGTATACTAGAAATCTAAAAGTGGAAGGTCAGAAGATTCCGGAAGGCTGAGCCTGTGACTCTGAGGTTTTACATTTGAATCTAAATTTCAAAGTACTTATGGTCTGAGAATTTAACGTCCTACAATTCTGGGCTTCTAAAAGCCCTTAGTCCCAAGACAACAAGGTTCCGAGACTGACCCTGCAATTCTCCTGGGCACCAACAGGCCAGGATGTGATAACCCCGAGCAGCCTCCTGGGGCCTCTGGAGGCAGGACCCCCCCACCCCCCCCCCCCCCCCCCCCGCTCCTCTCAAGCTGCACAGGGTAGCACTTACCCAAGGGCCATGCAGGAATAGGAGGAGTAGCCCACGAAAGGCAGGTGGACCCCCAGTGGCGTGCCTTCCTGCATATCCGACAGCGTCTCCTATAGGAGAGAAACAGATGTGAGGTGACCAGCGGCTGTCAGGGATGGCCCCTCACTCACCCCTTCCCAGTCTTGGCTTAAGTGCCCTGCCACCCCCCCACCCCAGCCTGGGGTCTATGTAAAGTGGACCCTGCGTCATTTTCTTTCATTATATCCTGCTGCTTCCCTCAGGGCACTTGCCACGGTATAATTATATACTTCTCCAGACTGTAAGTAGATGAGGGCAGGGACCAGGGCTGACTTGGTCCATGTGTGTCCCCCGCTGTGCCCAGCACAAAGGCAGTCAGGCTGAACAAGCACGGGATAGCTCATATGACAGCTGAGAGAGAGATGGCCTAAGCAAGGGAGATTCCTCTATGGTGCTTTCTCACCTCTCATCCTTCCAGGTCTCAGCTCAGATAGCCCCCTCCGCCAGGAAGCCCTCCAGGACCTTTCATGCTGGGTCAGGAGGCCCACCCCCCTGCATCCCCCGCCCCCATCTCAGCCCTGATCTCTCTGGGGCATCATTGTCTGGGGACAAGTCCGTGTCCTCCACTGGACTGTGAGTCTAGGTCACTGCTGGGTTCCCAGCCCTGGGGCCAAACAGAGCAGGTGTTTCTGGGGAAGGAATGATTTCAGGACCCCAGGAGGAGGGTACTCTCCTAACCTCAGTGTTACGGCGGTCGGATGCGGGGGTACCCTCTGCAGACCAGGGATCGATCGCAGGTACCTACCCCGCCCCCGCTCACCATGGCAGTGAGCCCCTCTTCCACCACATCGAAGTTGCATGTGTCCGTGGCACCCTCGAAATCCGGCGTAAAGGGGGGCGCGCTGTCTCGGAGGCTGTCCCAGTCAAGGCCGAGGAAGAAAGGATGCTTCCGGAAATCGCCTGCTCCATTCCTGCCCAGGCGCGTCTCGGGGGGACACAGCAGCTGCTGGATGAGATCACGAACCTCGTCGGGGACCCCTGCATCTGCCAGCGGTAGCGACAGGTGCTCCTGCTCAGAAGGAGGGGAAAAGAGGGGACGTTACCTGGGAGCATGTGCAGAGAGGTCAGGGGCTCCCCGGGCTGTGCTCACCTTGTAGTGCACGATCTTGCCGTAGGTCTCAGCCGTGGAGTCGGCGTAGAAGGGCGTCTGCCCATAGAACATTTCATAGGCGAGCACGCCCAGCGCCCACCAGTCACACTCGGGCCCGTAGCTGCCAGTCCCGGGCCCACCGCCCACGGCCTGCAGGATCTCGGGAGACAAGTAGTCCGGGGTGCCCACAGCCACCAGTGACCGCACCTGAGCCAAGAGGATCCGAGCTAGGCTTGACCCCGCCCCTCCTAGCTCTGGCTCCGCCCCCTCTTAACCACTACTCTAGAGCTTAGTCCCTCCTTTTGCCTGTTCTAAGCCTGAGCCACAGGCAGGCTAGGGCCTGGGTCGCCTCCTTCTTTCCCCTCCAAATCTAGTCCTGCCCTCACCCTGGCTCTGCCCGCACGCCTCAGCCCCGCCCCCACGCTGCACCTCCGGTTCCTGCTCCCGACCCGTCATTGGTAGTCCGAGTTGCCCAAGAGCGGCGCACCGCTCACCGTTCCATCCGCCCGCAACTTGAGGCAGGAGCCGAAGTCAGCCAAGCGGATGTGGCCGCACCGGTCCAGCAGGATGTTGTCCGGTTTGATGTCCCTGCGCGGAGGGAAGAAGGGAAGGGAGAGGGATAAGTGAGCCTCTCTCCTGCCATCTCACCAGGCTCCACCCCACTAGGCAGCACCGCCTGGGCCCCACCCTCTTAAGGACCACTCTCTCCAATTCCCGCGGCCTTCAGCCCCTGCAGCGCCCACCTGTGCACGTAGCCCAGCCGGTGCACCGAGTCTATGGCCATGACAATCTCGGCCAGGTAGAAGCGCGCCATCTCGGCCGGGATCCGCTCCCCAAACTTGCTCAGCAGCGTTAGCAGGTCCCCGCCCACGTAGTACTCCATGACCAGGTACTGGGAGGGGGCGTGTCACGGGGGTCGGTACCTCGTCTGGGCGTCCACGGCCGATAGCCCGGGACAAAGACTCCCAGAGACGCCCCATCCCTGGGCAGAGACTCCGCAGCCCCAGCCCCAGCCCCAAGAGATCTCCCAGGCCAAATCAGAGACACGCCCACCCCCAATCCTCGTTCCCCCACGATGTCACTGGACAGAGATTCACTTCCCCCACCCCCGACCAAGAGAGTCAGGAAAAAGAGAACCCAGAGACCTCCCGATTATCCAGGGTATGGAGCCCAGATACCCCCTGCCCAGTGGCTCCCACATAGACTCTAGAGACTATCTCATTCCAGGTGGTGCCCCCCGGAATCAACCTGGGGAAAAAGGCGGTAAGGGACATCTCCCATCCCGGGAAAGGAAGGCCAGCTCCTACCACACCCAGGGACTGCCGCATGCATTTTGAGGCAGCTCCCTGATCCTAGAACTTCCTCTGCCTGCCCACACCTCGATAACTGACAGCCTCAGGGGTGGGGGTCCGCCTCTCTAGTCGCCCGGCCTGGGGCTCACCAGGTAGTTCTCGTCCTGGAAGGCGAAGTGCAGCTGCGTGATCCATCGCTGGTCCCCGTTCACCAACACATCCCTCTCTTCGCGGAAGCACGACACCTGCGGGGCACCCGGAGGAGCTGAAGCGGACGGGTGTGGGAGGACGGAAGGGGGGATCCTCAGCACCCTGCACACCCAGCCCGGCCGTCACCTCGCCTCTCTTCAGCATGTCCCACTTATTCATGATCTTCATGGCGTACACCTGGCCCGTCTGCTTCATCTTCACCACCGCCACCTGAAAGCCCAAACAGGGTAATAGAGCGGAGGTGGCGGGGAAACACCAGGGCTCCCCCAGATTGGATTCCACCCTTAACCCGGGCCAGACTTGGCCCCGCCCCCACTCGGCAAAGCCACGCCCATTGGCCTCAAGCCCCGCCTTAGGGTCTAAACTCAGTCATTCATCAATTTCTAAGGCTCCACTTCCGGAACTCCAACATCCCGCCCACTGCAGGAAAAGTCAGGTCTCTAACCCCACTGAGCTGCCTCCGCTGCTCCAGGCTCACCTCGCTGAACGCCCCGCGTCCGATCACCTTCAGAATCTCGAAGTCATCCCTCTGCAGTCGGGCCTCCTTAAGCCTCTCCGCGATGGGCTCCACTGGGGGGGAGGGGGCGAAGGGGCGGGGATAAGAACCGAGAATCGGAGGGACTGACACTGGAGACGAGGAGAGACAGTCCCACCTTCTGTCGCTGAGTCTCCCCTGCCCCTGCCCCTGCCCTTCCCCTTAGCACTAGTCGGCCTCCTTAAAGACTTCACATAAACATTATGTGAGGCTTTGGGGACCCAAAACTGCTCTTGTACAGAGAAAAGTGGGATGCCTGGGAACCCCTTTCTGGGACAGGACACTGGGCCAGAAGGCTCTAGGGGGTGCAGGATGGACAGGGTGAGGTAACAAGTCTGCCGAAGGGAGGCCCTGAAGAACAGAGGAAGAAGAAATAGGCCCAGTTCTTAGAGCTCCCTGGGCTTCCGGGCCCCTACTCCCGGTGACCCCGCCCACCCCCAGGGCTCTCATTCAGTCTGTTTTGGGTCATGGCCCAGAGCCTGCAGTTTAATCCTAGGCTCAGATACTGGTGGCTCTTGGACCACACTCTGGGAAACCCTGAGTTTAGGGCTAGGACCAGGAGAAGGAACGGGAGAGGGAGGCAAGGCCAGCGTGGATCCGCATCCTGGCTCCAGGGCTGCAGGCACAGTCAATTGTGTTATCTCTACGCTCTCAACTCCAGGAGGAGGTTTTACTATTACCCCTTATCTACAGATGAAGAACCAAGGCTCAGACAGGTGAAGTCCTCTGCCCAAGGTCCTACAGCTAGCAATGTTACAGAGAGCAGTTTGGGAGGGGGAAGGCGGAGAGTGGAGGCAGGGGGAGAGGGAAGCCTGGACTCCCGGAGATGGAAGAAGCTGGGAGCTTCTGAGGCAGGAGGGAGAGAGCAATGGGTGCAACTAGGAATGAGGAAAGATACAGTGGGTTATGGAGAGGGTTCGGGGTTCAGGAAGAGTGGGCCAGCAGGGAAGCAGCAGCCAGGGCCCAGGATGGGGGAGGGAGGAGAGAGCCAAGACACTGAGCCCTTTTAAGGCAGCGGGAACCCAGGCCCCCTCCCCCGCCCCAGCGGCCTGGCAGGGGAGGGGCCGCAGGATGCTGCTCGGGCCACAAAAGGAGTGCTCCTTACAGGAGAGCTGCCCCCACCTCAGGTCTCAGTTCATCCTCTGCAAAAGAGGAGCTGAGAGAGTTACTAAGGGCTGGGGGGATGTGGGGAGAAGGTTCTCCCAGAGGCCAAGTGGTCTAGCCCTTGGCCTCCACCTTCGCATCTGCAAAATGGGGAGAGAGAAGCGGGGCCTGGGTCAGAAAGAGATGGACACAAGAAAAGAGGGAGCGGGAGAAGGCAGAGAGACAGGAAACAGGGACGGGGACAGGGACACACAGAGCCTAAGGACCAAGAGCAAGCCACTGAGGGACAGACCAGTGGAGGGACAGAATGGCAGATGTTAGAGAGACAGAAACCCGAGTGAGCCTGAGCCTGGGCCAGGAGGGAGTGGGGCAGACAAGGCAGGAGGCTGGGGCTAAAGATGAAGCATCTTCCCTCTGGACCTGTCTCCAGGGCAAGACTTGGCCAAAAGGGACTTTGGGTGGAGGAGGAACCTACAGAGAAAGTGGGCCCACTCAGAAGAATCCTAATTCTTCCTCCTCCAACCAGGGGGTGGAGGGGGTGCTTGGTGGGGCCTGTGTGCAGAGCTGGTTCTCCCCGGGCCTGCCTGAGTCACCGCGCCCTCCCAGTGCCTGGGCACCTGTTGGAGCAGCTGGAGAGGCTGGCGCCGAACACCTGCCCGTCGGCCGCGCCCCTGGCAGCTGCCCTGTGCTGTCCCTTCCGCTTGCCCCTGCGATCTGGGGAACCAGGGTGGAGGGCCACAGGGCCCATTTTGGTGGGGAGGGGTCCTAGAAGACAGGGCTCCCCAGCACGTCCCTAGGCCTAGACTCGGGAATGGGGTGCAAGGGGACCATGAGAGGCTGTGCCCACCCAGCTTACCATGGCTCCCAAGTCATGATTCTGAGTCATGGCTGCCCTGGCCTCTGCTCATCTCACTCTGCCCTGCCAGGGTGGCACAGGGGTAGGAATATGTCGCCCCAAGACCCAGCCCCAAGTTCTGGGCCCCTGAATGGGAGGTTTTCTCTGTGTCCGTCCTGCCCCCAACACCCAGCCCACACCCCCCTTCCCCCTCTGCCCTGCCCCCACCCCCAAATCTGTGGGGTGCCATGCAGGTAGGTAGGCACTCACCCCACTCCAGGAAGTCGGCCACATACTTGTCCTGGGCCAGGTCGGACGCGCCCAGCTCCTGGTGGACGCCCAGGAGAAGGTCGAGCAGGGGCTCCAGCCCCAGGAAGCTGGGGTCCAGCACCAGCTGCTGAAGCCGCCTCAGCCGCACTTCGGCTGACATGTCGGGCAGGCAGCACCATGGCCCCCTCCCCGGGCCAGGGGCTCGGGGTCCTCCCGTCACGGGGCCTGGAGGGCCCTGTCCAGGCCCTGGGGCCCTGGCTGCATGTCTGCCTGTCCCTGGCTGTCCCCTGGGCCTCTCTGGCCACTTCTCTCTGCTGGCTGCTAAGGCCTCCTCCCCTTCTCCCCACCCCTCGGTCCAGCCCCCTCCAGCCTCCCAGCCTTAACCCCTCACAAGCCAGGCCCCCCCAAGTTGCTCCTTCCAGGGCCCCTCGGAACGCTTCAGTGTGAGATGAGGGGCGGTGGAGAATCTCTACCCTCAAACTACCCCACCACTGAAAAGGCAAAGCACAGAGGAACGCTACAGGTATGACAGATGCCAAAGATGAGCCCTCCCATTCCCCAGAGGGGACCAATTGAGGTTCACAGTGATTTGGTAACACCCCTCCCAAGCTCTCGAGTTGGGAGGTGGGGGGAGAAAAAGGGGTGAGGCCTGGGAAGGGGGGGCGGGAGGCCAGGGCAGCTTTGCGGGTGACTCAGCCAAGGATTCAGACTTTGGGATGGTTTAAATTTAGCCCTCAGGCCCTCTGCTTTACACTGACTTTTTTTTGGCAGGAGATGGGGAAGGGGTGGTGAGAGAATCGGGAAGGGAGGCCCTCAGGAGCCAGGATCAGGGGTGACCCACTGGCCAAAGCCTGGGGGAGGCAAAGGAGCCCCCAAAATAGCTCCTTGGACCCTGGCAGTGCAGCCACATTCCTGCCCAGGCTAGGATTAGAAACAGAAACATTTCGGGGGGTGGAGGGTAGAGCGGGAAGACACCACTCCCTGTGGCTCCAGAGAGCCAGCCAGGAGGGATTTTCGCTGTTCTTTCCAGGGTGGACAGTTCTCCCAGAGGAAACCATGGTCTCTAATTGGTCCTGGATGCCTGGGCCCGGCCAAGCCAGGCCTGAGGCAGCAGAAGGCCAGGGCCTATGCTGTGGCAGCTCACTCTGGGCATCTCGGGAGCTGCCTGGGGGGGCCCCTATAATATCTGGACACTTTGAAACAACTTTTAAAACTCCCACTGAAGACTCTGAAGAGGGGGTCCTGGTGGCTCTCTTCCCTCCGAGCGTTTGGAGTGGGGCGAGGGATACTCTCCTCTGTCTGAAGGGCCCTGCCCGGGGCTGGCCAGCGGCAGATCCACCAGCTGTGTGCCTCAGGCACATCCCTCCTCTGGTTTTCAGTTCTTCCTGCCCTCAAAAGGGGGTCTGGGGGGGGAGGCAGGGCCTAGCGCTTCCTCTGGATAAAGTGGACTGATTTTAGGGCTGCATCGAAAGCACCCACACACTTCCTCCATACCTCCGCGGAAGGGAACAGAGACGCTGTGAAAACAGGGAACTTTAGTATAAATAAGAGGTCCTGGGGGACAGCGAGGACCCCAGGGGCTTCCATAATTTAACATTCTTCAAAAGCACAAGTAACAGCAAGGGCAGGGTGGGGGCCAGGGGAGGGGTGGGCCACCCCCTGCCCTGCACACAGGACCGAGAGGCGCACTGCAGAGCTGGGGCTCTTGTGGGTGGGGAGTTTCTCCCCCAGGAGTGACCAGTCACATGCTGGGGACAGGGATGAGGCTAACACTGATGTTTCAGAGGAAGGGGTCATTGTACTTGGCAGTGGGTGGGGACAAGGCTGAGGCCACACGGGCCACTACATCCCCCCAGTGTCTGGGTCAGTCTGAGGGACCCTCTGCCCCAAATTTGTGCAGGGAGAGGGACCGGAGCAGTCCATCCGTCATGGTTAGTCTTGTTAATACGTTGATCCATGAGGTCAGCGGGGACGGTTATGCTAGGAGCTGGGGGCATGGGGTGGGGGACCCCGCCATCCATGGCTTCACACCACCGTGCCGCTCGGGGAGTTGCCTGGTTGGGAGGAGATGCCCTGGGGAAGATGAGAGCGGAGACAGGAGGGGGTTAGAGAAGCCTGGGGCTCTCACCAGTCCCACGGGGCGGGGGTTGGGGAGGAGGGAAGCCAGCCTGGAGTCCCCCAGGCTGCTGCCACCCTGGCCTTGCCCTTCAATCCACCCCAGACCACCCAGACAGGCCGCTGCTCTAGGCTCAGGAACTTACATCTCGGCTAGCTTCCCTGTCCCAGCAGGTGGCACTCTTATACAATTAAAGTCCTCAGGTGATCCTGAGCAAAGAGGATGGGGTAGGGGTGGAGGTAGGGAGGAGAGGGGGAAACTGGGGTCCCCTTCTGACTGCGGAGGGGGTCCTAAGGTTCTGGGAGGGATGAACTTAGGGACAGTCCTACCTCTACCACTGACTTGCTGGGTGACCTGGGCCAACTTCCTTCCCCTGTCTGGGTCTCGGTCTCCTCGTCTGTGAACTAGGGAGATAGAGGGATCTCTTTCAGGACTTACCAGATTCCCCAAATCCCAATGCCCCTGCCTCTGAGACTGTACTTTAAGTTCTAGGGATTCAGGACCCTACAATTCCAAAACTGCTCTTCCAGGGAACCAGGCACAGCCCTCAGATCTGGCATCCTGGGCCCCAGAGCCCAAACCCTTAGGAGACATCTGAGAACACAGGTCCCAAGTTATAAGGCACCAGGCCCGCACTTCACCTTACTAGCACCTTTCTGAAACCCATGGCCGACCCATCTTCAAGCTTCCCTGTCCTAAGAGATGAGAAAGGTCATAAAGAGGCAGTGACTTGCTCGAGGTCACACAGGGAGCAGAAGTGCTGGACTGGACCCTGAGCCTGGGATCCCACAGCCCACGCCTCCAGCAGTGGGCTCGGATCCCAAGAGTCTGACACTCAGGCTGGAAGCTGGGTGCACAGGCTCAACCTTGCCCATAGAGCTCAAACTGCAGTATTAATAAAATTTCACCATTCCGTAAGACCTAGCCATGCTGGGCCCACCGGCTGCCCTTCTGATAACTGGCCATGTTCTCCACCACTCCCAGATGTCTCTTATGCCTGACCCTCTCTCTGCTTACCGTTGCTTGCCAAGCGTTCTAGAAGTCACTCTAAGATCTGAGACGGCTTGTTCTGGGACACAGATTTCCATGGCTTCCCCTCATCCCACACGGCTAGAGGCTGTGATGCTACCAAACCTCTCTGCCAATGCCCGCCTCTGCCTGGGTCCCAGGTGGGCTGGTGTGGGGTGACTCACCACCTTGCCCGGCCGGGCCCAGGTGCAGATGAGGCCCTCCTGGCAGGCGGTGATGATGCAGTCCTCCAGGAAGAGGAGGACCGTGAGCCGCTCTTGGGCGATCTTCTTGCACACGAGCGGCTCGAGCAGCGGCACCTCGTGGATGCGCGGGCACAGCGCGGTGCCCAGCACCTTGGCGGGGTCCAGCCGGCTTCGGGGGGCGGGGCCGCTGGGCTTGTCCCCGCCGCCCCCGCCCCCACTGCCGCCCCGGCTGATGTTGCCCAGGCTGTGGTAGCGCTTGTGCTCTTTCTCGGCCCCCCGGTCCCGCCGCTCCTGCAGCGTGAGCGTGGCAAAACGGCCGATGCTGAAGGGCGTCCCTGGCTCCGCCGCCGCACCCGGGCCGCCCGCCTTGCCGCTGCCCGCTGGGTGTGGGAGGCTGTTGGACCGGGACAGCGAGCGGGGCAGGGGCCCGGGGCCTGGCTCACCACCTCGCGAGCTGCCGGTGGCAGGCGGCGTGGTGCCAGGCGTGCCGGGGAGGGTGCGGGTGCGGGCCAAGGGAGGGTGAGGGTAGAGCACGTCTTCGGTGAGGTCCCACAGGCAGAACTGCGTGTCCTGGCCGGCCGAGCCGAAGCGGTAGGTGATGGAGCCGGCCTTGGGCAGCGGGGAGAGGGGGGCGCCCCCGCCCGAGCCCGTGCCCGCGGCCTCCGGCTCCTCCTCCTCCCCGCCACTCCGCTCCCCGTCGCCACCGGCAGCCGCCGCCTCCTCGGCCCTCGTGGTGTAGGGGTCGAAGGCCACGGCGTTGACCCAGGACTTGTGGCCGTGGCCTCGGGCCACCACGCGGCCCTCGGTGAAGGACCACACGGTGACCAGGTCATCTTCACCACCCGTCACGACGTAGCGCCCGTCGGGGCTCCAGCACACACAGAGCAGGCCCCCAAAGTAGCTCTTCATGAGCCCCCGCAGCAGCATGGAGTCGAAGTGGAAGACACGCAGGCAGCCGTCCTGGCTGACGCAGGCCAGGTGCCGGCCGTCGGGCGAGAAGGCGAACTCGTTGAGGGGCCCCTCGCCCACCGCCCACTTGGCCAGTGGGTTGCGGGGCGCCTTGCTCTTGGCGGCGTAGACAGCGAAGCCCTCGCCCTGCTTCAGCAGGCTGTACTGCGGTGGGGCCGAGGCGCACGGGTGGCTGACATTGTACAGGTACAGGTGGCCGCTGGCGTGGGATGCCAGGAACAGGCTCTCTGACTCAGGCAGCCACTTCAGATACGTCACCTTGGTCTTGTCGATAAGCCGCTGCCAGGGGAGAGAGCGGGGGTTGGGAGAAGGCCATCCTCCCGTGGCCCACCTCCTCCCCAGCCTGGTTCCCCGGAGAAGGTCATCGTAAGTGGCCCGGGCCTCCTCGGAGAGGAGGGACTGAGGGAAACGGACAGACACCAGGTTAGGGGAAAGCAGGGGGAGAAGGGCTGTGTGAGGGGATCGCCGTGGAGCCTCGATGTCCCTTCTTCGGCAGGAGGGCAGTGCTGCCTTCCAGAGAACTCTCCTCTAACCCCCTCCGCCATCTTTACCATGTCATGCTTAAGGCAATATTGAGTCACGGAGTATTAGCTCCCCCAAGGAAGGTATCTTTGTTTATTTGGTTCATTGTTCTAGCCCCAGAGCACGGAGCTGTACCCGCAGGAGGTGCCTGGAAAGTAGTTCCAGGACACCTGAGTGACAACCCCATCCTGGCAGCCACGCATCTTTGCTCCTTTTTGTCCTCACAACTCACCTCCAAACCTGCAAGAAATCCTGTGGGCTTGATCTGCAAAATGTGCCCAGAACCTGATCTCTTCTCACCATCCCCAACTCCAACCACCCTGGTCTCAGCTGCCGTCAGGCCTGCAACGGCCTAACTGACTGGCCTCCACCACCTGGGTCTCTTCTCTGCACAATTGCCAAAGAGATGCTATTAAAACCTAAGTCAGCACCCGGCACTGTCTCTCCCGTTCTGAACACCATGGCAGCCTTTCTCAAGCAGGACTCCGGGGAGAACCAAGCTCTATCTAAAGCCCTTTGGCATCCACCGTCTA